TACATATTTACATACATAATTATTCAGGTGCATGTGTAATAACTTGCGAAAACTTGAGGCTACAGCAGCACTTCTTCTTCTTCGTCGTCTTATCTGATGCACTCAACCAAGCGTTCTAACCACGACCTCGCCCCTCCCCACCCCCCAACCATTCTAATTTCCGTAGGCGGGAATTATTTTAATGATATTCTAATGGGCCGCTTTGTGATATCACAAAACCCGGAAAACAAACGCTGTAGTCCAAACGAGCCATTCGTTGTAGTTCTTGAAAAGGGATTTTTTAAAAACGAAATATCTCCCTTTGGAGTGGACTTTGAGATTTGTAAGTTTGAAGATCTTTTTTATGCCAAAACATACACACTACACACTGACTAAAATTCAAAAAGTGAAAAAGCATAATAGGACCCCTTTAAGAGAATAAATGGGGTCAATTTTGATTTCATGGTCTTCTTCGAGGCTTTCTTTAACAAAACCCACATGATCCCACAAACCAGAAACTACTCCCACTTCCATCCTAGCAGTCTTTTTAATCTGTTTAGAAATATATTTCACAATACCAAATGCACATTTAACAAAATCCAATTAGAGTTTATTAAAATCAGATATGCTGTTAAAGAAATCTCTTCCTCTTGGGAAGATTGTGTTTGTAAAACTCAGTCAAAACAAAATAAAAAATATTCTGCTATTTACAGAGGGCACAAGGATGACAAACTGCTTTAAAACAACATTCTAAATATAATACGGCATATGTATCCGTACCCATGCGTCACACAGGCTTTCCTCGCATGACCTGCCTGTTATAAACATTCTATACGTAACCCTGCCCAGTCATTAAAGAGACTCCCAAACATAATCATACGCTCTCATTAGCACACAAAGCATTCTTTCTCCATTATGATGTCATGCTTTACCAGTCCGCTGAGGCTATATGGGCCAAAACACTGGAAGACAATTTTCTGGCACATTCTTGATGTGAAAACATATAACAATTTTCCTTCAGTTCAGAATGCTTATGTTTATAAAATATCATTACAGGTACATGAAACATGAGGTTACGTTATGCTGTTGGTGTGGTTGGCATGACAAGCTTTTATTTGTGTTAAAGAAGAGCAAGTCACGAAACTCTTAACTTAATGATTTACACATGTCCTAACCAGGAGCGATGCGTAAGACATTTGTCACCAGCAGGATTTCAGGATAAGTTCTAATCCATAAAAAAAGTTTCATGCAGTGATGCTTCTCAAGTAAAGTTATAATGTTTTAAGATTTTTAGATATTTTTTACTACATAAAAACAATAATTAAAAAATTTATTACATTGTATTATTTAATTTTTAAATTTTATTGATTATTTTTCTTTATTAATTTAATTTTATTTAAATGTAATTATTATTCTATACAAAAATGTTATTGTTTTTTTATTTGTATTGTTTGATGTTGCTTTATTACAGCATGCCTGGTTAGGACAGTGTAAATTATGTAAACATTTGTAAGGGCTTATTAATAGAGATTAAAATAAACTCAAAGTTCTAGAAGCTGTAATTGACCCTTCGCAGAGCGTTTGATTGACAGGTGATCTGCCCATTCATAATGCCGAATCTCCCATTTTTGTCCGACAAACAAATCAGACAGGAGAGTAGATTAACGTCAGTGGACTTGAACTTGAAAAATGGTGTGCATTCTTTCCGTGGTTAAAACAAGATACCTTCTGATGTTCTTTCATGTTTATTTCATGCTATAACTAGTAAAGAGAAAGAGATGATCGGTTCATGTGCCACTTGAACTAAGGCGCTACATGATGTGTGCGTGAGAGCGCCATGGCTTCTCGGACGTAGGAACAGCATCGGGTCTTTGCAAAGGGTCAATTGTGAACACTTTAGAACCTTTCACGTGAATCGTATTAGAACTTAATTGGACGTCAGGACAAGTGTTATGTGCAAATACAAAAAACTATCCTGTCCTGTTTTAAGTTGCAAAAAAGAAGGAACATTATACAAATTTTCCAATAAACATGCTTAAAAATGTCAGCGGCATGTGGAAAGAAAGATGAAATTGGTTAACTTTAAGCGATGTGTAATTGTATGCTAATTCAAAATGGTCAAAGTTGATATGGGTCAACCTGTGCACAAGAAACTGGGAGTAGCTTCGCTCCACAGAGTTTAATGCATTGGGAATTTTGACGTGAATCATGTGAGAAGGCCTTTAGATTTCATTCGACGGGATTCTAGATCTGGTAGTGAATTCTAGAGCAGCGGTTATGTAATCCCTTTGTTCTTATATAATCTCAAACAAATGTCTATTAAAATTCATGAGGAGACAATGAACCGTTTCAAGAGAGCATTTGTCAGTGGAACCAATGAGGCAGTTACAATCAGGAAGTGGCTTTTGCTTTGAGTAAATAAGATTGCTAAAGTTTGATTTCATTTCTTTTCTTGCTCTACAAAGTTGATGCTGTAGGTGAGCTGGTGTCCATTGTCCCAGGCGTACAGAACCTTCTCTTTTGGGTTGTAATCGACTTGTGTGGTGAACCCGTATTCGTTAATGAACGGTAAACGCGGTGACGCCTCGGCCCCCGTGAGCGTGTCGTATGCATACGAAACCTCCCCTTCCCGCTGATTGTAAATGTCCACCGCGTACAGGACGCCACATATTATGAAGCAGTTCCCGAACGAATTTCTTCGCAGTCTCGTCCTCCACGTGGTCTCCTTTTTGACAGACAGGTCATTGAGATCTAGTTTACTGACTACAATGACCTCGGCCTGTCCGTAGTCATCGTCAACAGATGGGTAAATGACCCAAAGTCCGTTCTCGTCCACGGCGAAATCGATATCAGAGTGGCCTTTCCACTTCCAAGGTGTGGTGTCTTCGTAGACGACATCGTGGAGCTGAGCCCAGGCGGCTACGAACCGTTGCTTGAGGTCGTATTTGATGATGTTCTTTGTGAAGGCACGGTTATAGTAAAACCCTCCTCTGTACACAACATGACCCGTTCCGATCCAGTTATAAGGCAGCTTGTACAGGTTACTCCAACGGCCTGCCAGGAAAAGAAAGAGAAGTGAATAATAAAAATAACAAACGTTCATTGGCAACAAAGTCCATTTTCTATTGTGTTGGGATTTATAAAGCACAGCTCATGCATAACTAGGGTTGCAAAGGGGTGGAAAATTTCCGGGAAATTTCCAAAAATCCCTGGAATATTCAAAAATATCTTGGAAAGTTCCCAAAATTTTGGGAATGTTTCCGAAATTTACTGGAAATTTTCCACGTTTTTGCAACCCAATGCATAACAAGTCATGTTCAAACCAAGCAGTTTTCTATTGGATACAGTCCATGTCACTCAACTTGAACCCATTGTGAAATCTGCATGGGCAAATGTTTCAGCCTCAAGCAAAACTCCCAGTTGCATAGATTACTATTGGATTACTAACTGGATTTTGCATGCCAAAATTCACAAAACAACAGTAAATGTGACCTCACCCTAACATAAACCCACATTTTATGGAGGAATTTTAAATGTAAAAAGTAGATTTTAAATGCAACATAGATAGATAGATACATTTTATTTTTTTTATCTATCTATCTATCTATCTATCTATCTATCTATCGCTGTTTTTCCAAATATACAAATAAGCAATTTTTTCCGCTATGGTAATCTTGCTTGTCTTGCCAAGCGAGCCATAACTGCCACTGTTGCCCCCTAAAAAATTCAGTGTATGACTCCCCTAGCTCTGTCTTAAAGGGGTCATATGATGCGATTTCAAGTTTTCCTTTCTCTTTGGAGTGTTACAAGCTCTTG